CCAGCGCGGGGGGCTGAGGAGTAGGGCGCGGGACATGGTGTCCGCGGGGAGGAGGGCCCGCAGAGTGGCCGGCGCCCCGCTGGCGGTCACACGGTCCCGCCCCGCGCCGGCTGTTGGGCTCACACAGACCCGCCCTGGCAGTCAGAGCCCCCCAAGTCATAAAGACCCGAGTCACACGCGGCCCCCGCCCCCGCAGGACCAGCCCGGAGGTCCAGGGCACGCTCTGCCCTGCGACTCTAGGGCCCGTCTTCTCGCCCCCACCCCAAGCCTCCCTCTGCACCTAACAGACAACGTCCCCCAACAAGACGCCCACCGAATCTGGGGGGCAGAGATGACGCACATGGCCCCCGGGTCATGAGCAGGGCAGGGGCCTGAGCTCTGGTGTCCTCCGGGTCACTCGTGGGGCCTGCACTGCCACCCCTAGGGATTCCAACCACTGTTCAGTGTTCCAGACCACCCAGCTGTCCCACCTCACTGGTCCAGCATCTTTGTGGAGGGAGGGTGATTAGGGAAGAACCACCTCCCCCACCAGTGCCTTCCTCGTGGTAACGTTCCAAAACCTAGATGTCATATCTACTTGGTTTAAAAATCTTTATTTTGCATTTAACATCCCAAGATAACCAAAAGGGAGATTCTGCACCCACTTTGAAGCAGCGGGGAGGACTCAGTGAGGGATGGTGGCTGTTCCCCTAGGTAGGCACCGTTGACTCCTGCCCCTTTCCAGTCTCCACCAGACCCCACGCACAGACTGGCTCAGGGCAACTAAGTCATAACTAAATTAAAAGGTGGCCGTCACCCCAACGCCTTCCTGTGCTCTATCTCTCAGTTTCTTCCGAACCTGCACATGGAAATACGGGAGACTCAGAATTAAATATGCCACTGGGCACGTGTACATGTTAGCCTTTATTGCTCAGGTGGTATTAACTCTATCACACAAAAATGCAAACTGACAGAGACAGGATTATATACTTTTAAAACCCTATTTGTCTGGATTTTTCAAGCTCGCTCTGAAATAAGAAAGGGCAAGCCTGTGTGAAGCCCCCAGGCACCCAGTTTCAGCTCTAAGACTCAGACTTTCTGAATCCCCAGGGAAATATCCTTGTAGCTCCCATCCAGGCAGAGGCAGAGCCCCGGCCCTACCCCTGGAGCCACAGGAAAGGGAACTGGCCCCGGCTGGCTGCGGCAGGGTGGGGTCACTTGGGTGCAGGTGAGAGCCGCCTCGCTGCCCTGGGCTTGTTTGGGGACCTGACTGAGGCCTACGTCTGCCTGGCCCCTCACATGCTCTTACCGCCAGAGCTGCCGAGGACGCCGGGCTGAGGACCATGCTGCCAGGGCTGGCACCTCCACCTTCCAGGTGTCTCACCTGCATCCCCATTTGACTGAAAGTCATGACCCCACTTGTGAATACCATGAAGACACCTAGGCAGCCAGTCACCAGGGCTCAGAAGTGAGAAACCAGGGGCCACCCTCGAACCCCCCCACTGGGTCCACAGTTGGCTGGCCCCAGCCCGCCCTCGTCCCCTGGCGCTGTAGCCCGTTGATCAGAATGGCCCCAGGTGTGGCCAGGTGTTGCCACCAGCCCACAGAGGACTGATTAATGCCCCTCAACTTAGTAAAAAGCCAGCGTCAGCATCTCCAACACAGCTGCTCGCCTCCTTCCAGTGGGGAGAAAGACCCAGAACCACCATGATGTGTAGCCTTGCGAATGAGTGTGCAGGCCTGAAGACAGTTCCTGGACCGACCAGCATTCCCCTTTTAGGAGATGCTGCCAACTCCCTAGAGGTGCATTGGTGGCCGTGTCAACTGAGAGACGTGTGCAGTTCTTCCAGAAGATTCTGGGTGCATTCAGGGGACAAAGAGATGTCACAGCAACTGATTCTTGGCTGATTCTGATCGAAGCAAGTGTAATTCTCACACCCAAAGTGTCCCTGCAGTCTGGCAGGTGGTAGATGGAGGAGGCCCTGGCCGGGGCTAGGCCCTCGGGTGAGTGAGTGCGGGCCAGGGTGAACTGCTGGTTAGGAGGAGGGGAGGGCCGCAGAATGCCCAGTGACACCCTGTGAGGATGCCAGGGGGGCTGTCTTGCGTTTTAAGCAGGGCCTGGCCTGAGGGAGCAGAGACAGCATGGCAGGAGGGAAGGAGGGGCTCAGCCTCGTCCCAACACAGAGGCCATCACGACACAGAGATGCGGCCAGTTCTCAGGGACGATGACCCCACCCCCAGAGAGCAGTGAGCTGCCACAGAGGACAGGGTCGGCCCTAGTGTGGCTGTTGATGGAGGGCTCAGGACGAATGCAGGCTCCAGGCAGGGTGCCCGGACGCGCACCAGTGCTACGGAACGGGGCCCTCCCAGAAAGACTGCATTTAAGTGTAATGGGAGGGCAGAAATGCAGCCATGTGGGTTTCACGCAGGGAAAGTGAGGGCCGTGGGGGCTGCCCTGTGGTTCTGCTGGCTCTTGAGACAGGACACAAGCACTCAGCTCGGCCACCTTGTCAAGGAGACGACGCCGGGCCGGCCGGGCTCCTAAGAGGAGGAGTGCCCAGTGGGTGAGACCCACACGGCTGCAGACGGCAGGTGCGCACCAGACAGGGCAGGGGGGCTACAGAGGTGCAGAGAAGCAGGCACGGCAGCGGGGGAATCGTGGTTGCCGAAATACCGCGCCGGGAGAGTCCAGCCGCAGCCTGGGCCCCGCCTTCACCACCGAACTGGAGCCACTGCCTCTGCGTTCAGACCACCTCGGGAGCGCTGAACTGACCCCCCCACAAGCACAAAATAGTCAGCATTCGCCTATATCAGAATTAAACTACTGTAAGAAATGAAAACTCCACCTTGCAGCCGGGCCTGCCCTACGAGAGGGGAGCAGCAGCTCCCCGGGGACCACCACCGGCGACGTGTGGGGCCGGGCCGGCCTGGGCCTCCTCGCCGGGCCGCGGTCACTGGGCCATCTGCACCACGACGGCTCTCCAGGCTTTCTCCTTGTCAAACTCCTTCAGGGGGCTTCTGGACACCTGGGACCAAGACAGCCAAGCGTTGCTTCTCCAGGGCGGCCCAGGTGGCAGGGGGCAGGAGGAGGCGCTGTTACTTTGAGAGCGTCTCTCGGCCCCTGAAGGACCCTCTGAGAGGAGAGACCAGTCCCCCTCTTCCTGGCAGAGCTGCGTCCCCCGGAGGGACTGAGGAGGGAAACCCCTGGATCTAACCCATTCGAGTGCCTGCAAGGCCCTCTCCCACGTTTGTAGGAGGGGAACAAAGCATTCGGCCGGTTGTTTGCTCAGAAACAGGTTTGTGTTTGCCTAAGTGACTTCAGAGATGTGTAACACATTTTACCCTTTCAAGCTTTTTCCGGAGTGTTTTTAAAAATACCATGTGACCCAACAGGTCTTGCAGGAAGTTGCTCTGCACGGGCCTGGGAGAGCTGCCCCACCAGCAGGGAGTCCCCGTCCCAGAGGCCACTCACCTCCCCCGCAGGGCGCTCCTGCTGGCCGGCCGGCGCTGGGTCCCAGGACGCGCCCACTTTGAAGCGCACGCACTGGAGGACGGTGCCCGTGTTGAGGCTGGCCTGCAGCAGCAGCTCCAGCAGGAGGAGCAGCAGGAGCACGTCATAGGACTGCTGCAGCGGAGACAGGCAGTGAGCAGCGCGGCGCCCACCTCCCCGCTCCCCGCGCCCGGGCCTCCCTCCTGTGTTCTCTGCCGGCACCGACTTGAGCAGTGACACCTGCGAGAGCCGAGGAACTCAGCTCCGCTTGAAGTCCTGTCCTGGGTTTAACGGAGGAGCACACAAATGACCCACAGGCAGCCAAGCCCGGTGACAGTGCCCCCGACAGCCACACGGGTCAACAGGGAGCCAACAGAACCACCCATGGTGGCGCCGAGGGTGCCCGTACAGGGCGACGTGACCAGTGACGGGGAAGCAGCCTGCTCTGGAGGGCCCTGAGCCGAGGAAAGAGAAGGGCGGGCTCCCGGGGCAGCAGGGACACAGGCACCAGCAGCAGCTCGGGCTCAGCCCAGGCTGGAGGCCAGAGGGTCCGGCACTGGTTGCTGGAGAGGAGGGTCTGAGTGCCCAGGACGGGAGAGCGAGGGGGGCACGCACCCGCGGGGGCTCGTCACCGACACAGGGGAGGCCCAAGGAGGGACTGCAAAGACATCCCCAGAGCACTCGCCCCCTTCCCATGCTGCACGGATGTCCCCCCAGCCTCGGAAACGCAGAGCAACCAAATGTTAACACAAAGAGGAACCCAGCATCCATACAATGTCACTGGTTGAAAAAAACCCAACACCTATCAGGTTGTGTACAATTAACCAGGAGTCCAGTTTAAAAAAAACACACAGCACTGTGTTTTCTAGAGCCAGCAGGTTGATTCTAAAATTCACACAGAAGAAACAAGACACGCCCTAAGAAACGGCCGAGCATCAGCGAAG